CGCATAGTCTATATGCATATATGTATGTGTGTGTATGCAAAACACATACACATAATTTTTTTTTTTTTTAATCACAGTTTGGTAAAAGTATTTTGAAGTGTTTCTTTTTTGACCTGAAGGATCGCTGGCTGTTGCTGTGATCCCTTCTCCTACCTCTGGTCTGTGATCCCAGCCGTGACATGGATCAGATACCCCGGGGCTCCCCTGATTTACCTGGGGCATCCCCTGCCACAGGTGTGAGTTACTTTTCTGTGGAGCTCTGAAGTGTGTAACTCTCCCAGAGAGCTCTGTGTAAGTCAGGGTGCTCCAGGGGCGCCCAGCAGGAGGTATACAGTGAACGGAGTTGGCCCATGGGAGTATCGAGGCCAAGACGTCAGGGTAGGCTTCAGCAAGCACAAGGCCCATGTCCACCAGAGGACGGCCTTTGGCCTTTCCATTGTGTTGATCGGCTAGATGAGGCCCACCCTACTAAGAAGGGCCACAGTCAAAGTTCATAGTTAGTGTTAGCCTCAGCCCTCCGAGTCCTGATAGACTCATCCAGAACATTAGGTCTAACACAGCTGACACATGAACTCTTGTCAACTTAGCATTTACATACAACTCTTTAAAGCACACTCGGCCTCCAGATAAACACGCTGCACTCTCGCTGGGCACATCCGCATGCACTGGCCCAAGCCTCAGATGAGCGCCTTCTGGCCAACCCCCAATAGGGCGGTCATGGCCTCTCACTGATTTTCATGTCACTTTGGTCCCGTTTCTCCCTTCTTTCCTCTCACAATTTGGCTTTTCCTTTTGAGGTGGAGGCCAACAGTGTGAGTGTGTGGCTCCCCCCAAACCTACCCACCCTGGCAGAATGATGAGCAACCTGAAGGAGGCTGGCCTGGCCCGCAGGGGGTGCCTGGAAGCTGCCTCCACAGGTGCCATTCACAGCAAGACCTGGTCCATTTTTGCAGTGCTACCACGAGGGCCTGAGATGAGATGATGTGCAGGAAGCAGGTTCTATTTGAGAAAGCTGTGTGGAGAGCCACCTGGTGAGGGCCTGGTGCTGTGTAGAGAGCCACCTGGCGACACAGCAGCTTGCTGGCTTGTCTCTCTTCTCTTTGTAAAGCCGCCAATGCCCTAGCATAGAGTGCCCCACTTACAACTAACTTCATTTGACCCTCGTCACCTCCCACATGCCGTCACTTGAGCTTTTGGGGACAAACCCAAACTGCAGACGGTAAAAGTAAGACGGAGGGCTAGAGCGAAGGCTCAGCAGCTGGGAGTCCTGGCTGCTCTTGCAGAGGACCAGGTTTGGTTCCCGGCACACCTGTGGCAGCTCACAGCCGTCTGCATCTCCAGTTCCAGGGGATCCAGTGCGTTCTGGTATCTGTGGACCCCTGCATGCACATGGTACATGTATATCCACTCACTCACATACACATTAGTGGGGAAAAAATGAAATCAGGTTTTGTCGGGATGACTCAGCAGGTAAAGGTGCTGTCAGGCCTAACGATTTGAGTGTAACCCCCAGAATCCACATGGTAAGAGAAGAGAACCAACTCATTCAAGATGTCTTCTGGCTCACACATATGCTATGGCGAGCACACATATACTCAAGCTAGCTAAAAACAAACAAACAAATCTTAAAAAATAAGTAAGTGGGGTGTGGGCCAGTGAGTTGGCTAAGCAAATAAAGGTACTTGCTACCAAGCTTGACAACCTGAGTTCTGTTCCTAGAACTCACATGGAGGAGGCAGAGAGCCAGCTCCTGCAGGTGTCCCCTGGCCTCCACACACGTGTCCGTGACAGGTACACAACTCCTGCAGGCTGTCCTCTGACCTCTACACACGTCTGTGACATGTACAGGAACAGACAAACAGTGAATAAATAAATAAATAAATAAACCTCAGAGCATTAAAAAAAAAAACATTGTTTTTGTTTGGTTAGATTTTTTTTTTTTTTTTTTTTTTTTTTTGTCTCCCTTTGTAGCCCAGGCTGGCCTTGACTTTCCATCCTCTTGCCTTAGCTCCAAGTGCTGGGGTTACAGTGTGCACTCAATGCCTGGCTTGACGCAGTCTCAGATCTCTGGGGAGCTCTCTACGGGTTGGGACCAAGGATCACAGAAGCAGGTGTCCCTCTTCACAGGCCTGTTTTTGTGCCATGCCTTCCTCAGGAGCATGAGCGACTGCCCTGGCGCCCTCCTTCCCAGACACCATGATAGATTGTGTGAAATTAATTTGACTGATTCCCTCAGATGTAGACAGAAGCTTTTGTGGTCTCAGTGTTTTCTGGTTTCACAGGTTGGACTTGTCCAACTCATTTGCTGTCTTATGGGAAATACCTGGTCTTTCTCCCATGGATGTTCTATTTTGTACGTTGCACATGTGGGACGTCTGTGTGTGGGAGTACACGCACCTAGCATGCGTACATAGTGCAGAGGCTAGGCTTTGTGTCCTAGCTCACTCTCTATCATTTATAATGATGTGTATAATGTGTGTGTGTAAGCATATGCTGCATATGAATTGCCACCCCAGCCGGTCCGCCCCAGGGACCCTCTGTGTCTGCCGCTCACATGCTCTGAGCTCGGGTGTCTGCTCTATCTGCCTGGCGGGTTTCAGGGACCCAGACTCTAGCGCTCGTCCTTCTGCAGCAGATGCCCGCACTGTGCCTCCAGCCCCGCCATGCGTTCTTCTTTTGGATGTTGGCGTCCTTTAGAACCAACCACGAGGCGTGGTCCTGCACTTTTAAGTGTTCAGATACTCTTACCGTGTGCATCTTCAGAGTCTCCTCGAGTCCAGAGTGCTCCCCACATTCTCTTCTGTCAGGTCTTCGTCATTCTGCTGCGCATGTTCACCCTTTTACTCTCTGAAAGACCAAATATCGGCATAGCAGAACCCTAGTCTTAGTCCTTTCTGATGGCCATAATGAGCTGCCCCAGGTCAAGGGTATAAGCCACAGGAGCTTGCCTTCCCTTGCTGTAAGGCGAAGAGCGGGGTCAGCAGCCAGCACGTGGGCCTCTGCTTCCGGATTTCAGACAGTACGTTTTTGAGTGTCCTTGTGTTCTAGCACTGATCTCCTTTGGGGGGTCACTAAACTGGCCTCCGCCCCATGCCCACTTTTTACCTTAATCACCTTCCCAACCCTGTCTCCAAATACAGCCCTACCAGGAGTCAGGACTCAGCATGTGTGCTTAGGGGACAGAGCCGTCCCTCAAAGCGGGAAAGTCCAGACTTTCCTGATATAGGCAACAGGGGCTGCGGCAGTCCTGGTCACTCGTCATTTCTGTGCTCCAAACCCTGGGGCTGATTACAGGGCTGTTTCCTGTCCCATGGTTAGGTTTGTCCTTTTGAGGGCTCCCTCATCAGCCGTGGCCTCTGCTAGGTACCTTAGAGTCCTTTCACTTCCTGCAGTCCAGGCAGGCATTAAACTGTTCTTCATCTTTCAGTGCTGCAACTGAGCTTGAAGGCTTTAACAGGAAATTCAGGGCAAAAGGACCCAGCGCACAAGTCCTGGTTTGTTTCATGTTGCCCCTTGAGTTTACTTCTCCATCTCTGTCCCCTGGTCACGTCATACTCTGCCCCTTCCCTGCAGATATGAGATGGTATGGGAGCCATACAGAAGGACAGTAAGGCCCGTGGCTGTTTGGAGCAAGGACTTGGGCTCCCTTGGCTAGGTTCCCTAGGAACATGGGTGGGCCAGGGGAGCAGGCCATGCCCTGTCATCACGGACATTGGTGCATGGATTTGCTGGAGGCTCATCAGAACCTCAGGGCAGGTAGACTCTGGTTTTCCCCTCCCACTGGTATGAACCTTCTTTGGGCCTGATGCCCCAAGTGGCTGAGGTGGGAGGGGGCAAAGGCTGGTGCTGCCTCTGTCTTGGCCTCATCTGAGGCTGGAGCCCCCTAAGGTCACCAGACAATGCTTGGTTTCTCTCAGGCCGCACTCTGGGAGACCAGAGCTGGGCAGGGAGGGGAGCTGGGTGTGGTGGGCCACACAGCTGTGGGGCTTTCGCTCCTCCTGAGCTCCCAGAGGAACCACGGCTTCCGGCTCCTCACTGAATCTCCCCTTCAAAATGGAGAAAAGCATGTTTTGAGGTTGCTGTGACCTGATTTCAGCAGTTTCCAGCTAGAGCTGGAAATTTGCTTGTTTTAAAAACATTCCGTTCCACTCTCCACTTAGGAATATTCTCAGTACTTCCATGAGGCTCCTGAAGGTCGCTCTTGCTACAGGACTTTATAAAAGCACAAAGCTTCCCGTTGTGCCTTGTTTCTGGAGGTTTTGTCTCTGTGTGCTGGCCTCATGGCATTTGGGGTTGTGGAATGGAAAGCGTCAGAACTTTGGTGGCATTTTTAAAAAGTTGATCTAATGTGAAGGGTGCTTGTCACAAAGTGATGTTTGAGGTAACTCTGGACTCCAAACAAACATCGAAGAGAATTAGACCTCCTCTGCCCCAGGGTCTGTTGAGTTAGAGGGGCCTTGGGCCCGGTGAGTCACTGGAATGATGCTTGTGTCCTGGCTGACTGTAACCTCCAGCCCTGCTGTCCGCTCTCCCTCCTTGGATGGTCATATGTAAATATCATGGTCCATTTGAACCTTGTCCCTGTATGGAAAAAGGGGCCTGGTTTTCAGAAGCTTCCCAGATCGAAGGAGGGTGCAGGACAGCGAGCAGGGAATAGCAGTCTAGGAAGCGAGCGGCCCAGGCTGGAGAAACTGATACCCTACCGCCGTGCCCTGCCCGTTCCTGCCAGATGCTGGGTATCTCCACTACTGTCTGGGGGCCTCTCCCACCTGAGCTACCCTCTCCAGAAGCCACAGCTGTGAGAACATGAGAGTGTGAGGAGAGGTGAAGGGAGCTTCCGCCCCGGGGAAGCTGTCAGTGTAGTTTGGCATCCCTGAGCCAGGGCTGTAGCTCCAGCCACCTAGGCAGGAGCAGCCTGTCTCCTTGTATACCTTGAGTTCTGGAGCCAGGCCCCTGCCTCCCACTGCTGCCTCCTCACATGGTCTCCACATTCTTTCTAGAATCCATCTACCGCCGTGGAGCCAGAAGATGGAGGAAGCTGTACCGAGCCAACGGCCACCTCTTCCAAGCCAAGCGCTTTAACAGGGTGAGTGTCCCCCTCCACTGACGCCCTCACAGGGCATCTTTCTTGTTTCTATAAAGAAAGGGGGAAAGTGTCCTTGCTCCTGCTGTGCAGGGCGGGGCTTCCTTCAGCACTGCTCTGGAGGAAAGTCCTGAGCCACCAGCTCAACCAGTATGGCAGGGCTGTGGAGATGAGCTAGGGGCTACCCTGAGCCCGTGAGTTCCTCTGAATGAGCATGTGGCTGTGTCTTGGGTGTCCTTTCCTGCTCCTGGTTGCATAACCCTTGCTCACTGTCGCTGGCCTGAGGACATAGCCTGCCTGCGAGACGTGACCCAGCGCAGCCTGCCTGCCTGGTTGGACACGTGGGCCGAGACGGCCTCCTTGGACCCGTGAAGTCCCAGGTGCCTCCACCTTCTTGTCTTCTGTCGCTCCAGTGGCCAGTCCTTTCTGAGTGGCGCTTGGCTTACTCGCCAAGTCTCTTCATCGTGGCGCTTCTTTGTTGTCCGGTGTGCAGTGGCTGGGTGACTGCGGTGGCTCCCGTTCACAGCAAGGCAGCACCTGTTTTCCTCTGTGGCCAGCAAGCACACTTGAGAGTGGTTTGGTCCTGTGATCACTGCAGGACTGCCTGAGCCATTACTCTGGAGTACCACTGCCCAGCTAATCCTGTACTTTTCCACTCTGTCCCCATGCTGGGAAGACAGTTTAGCATCCAGCAGCCACACGCCTAATAGTGAGCTGTGGCAGCTTGTGGGGTCAGCCCCATGGAAGCTGCTGCATCTTCAGGGCAACCACCGATCCCCCTATGCTCGCTGCCTTGTGCCTCGGCCACAGGTCCCTCTCCGCTCTCTTCCTGAGGCACATTCCATAGGTCAGCCTGGTCACTGTAGGTGTCAGCCCACCTCCTCATACCCCCAGGTGATTATGTGAGAGCCTGTGTACTGGGTGCCCATTGCGTCAGGAACTTGGGACTGATCCCAGCCCTACCCCAGGAACTGATGAGGCTGGCATGGTGGGGCCAGAGGAGAGGCTTCTGGGTGACTGAGCAGGAATAGCTGTATACTTGATTTGAGCCAAAAGGCTGAGAAGCAACAACCGGGACTGTAGCCAGCGTTAGCCTCAGTGCTTGCTGTGGACTGGTGCTTAGGAAGACAGCCAGGTGCTGCCTAGACACCCTAAAGACTTCCTGGAGGAGACAGTGTCTGGAGAGGATTCTGGGAGTCCAGGATGCAACAAGCACAGTGGAGCCCAAATAGCGTTCGGATACAGTAAGCCCCAGGCTCTCTGCTGCGCTATGAAGATGCTGCTAGTGCCCTCAGGCCTGGCGCGTAGTAGGAGGTACACGCTGAACACTGTTCTGTACTGTGACTGATGGTTGGAGACTGGGGAGAGGGAGGGGGTCCGAGGAGCCACAGTGGGCAGTAGAGGAGCCACAGGCTGTCATTCACCTTGGAGAGGCCAAGTGTCGTGAAGAAGGGGTGCAGGTGTCGCATGCCAGCGTGGGGTTCTCTGAGGACACAGGAGCTAGATTCTGAGGCTGCTGCTCTGCTACTGCCCAGCAGGATGTGCTCATGAGATTTTACAGTCAGCCAACCGGGTGTCCAGGATGGAAGTTGTCTGCTGTGGGGAAATGGAGACATCTGGCCTTGGAGTGCCGAGTGCCAGGCCCCACATTTGATTGTGACACAAGCAACTGGCCATCAGTGCGGCCAGGTGCCCTCTCTCCTATAAGCCTGTTACTGGCCAGAGCAGGAGCCCCGGGCAGCCCGGCAGCCCACCTCTCCGGCCACTGCTGTTGTGGCTGAGACAAAGCCCGTGCACCCAGCACACGGGCCAGGGCTTGGATGGCCCTGAGAGGCTCTCACATCTGTGTGCGGTCACGTGGATGTGTGCACATCTGCGTGCACACTCACACCGGTGGAGGACAGAGGTGGCACTGAGTGACTTCCTTTGTCGTTCTCTGCTTTAACTTGAGACAGGGCCTCTCAGTAAACCTGGACTCACAGGCAGCTAGAGTGCCTGGCCAGTGAGCCTCTCGGGCCTCCTGTTTCCACTCCCAGTGCTTGGGTTATAATCGTGCACCCCTCAGCCAGCTTCTTATGGGGCTGCCCACTCATGCCATGTGGCAAGTGCCTTACCACCATGCCAGTCTCCTCTTCTGCTCTTCATTGGCTGAAGGGACCAACATGAAGACCTGAGTCCTCAGGCTCTGTGACGCCCAAGTGTTGAGCCCTCCAACCTCGCTTTGGCTCTCAGAAGGAAAATGTTCCTCTGTGAGACTCAGAAGGAGGATCTGCAGGTGACACTGGGGCCTTCAGCCGTGTGACATGGAGCACAGGGCCTGCCTTAGGGACCTTAGAGCTGTCCTGCCCACTATCCTGAGGATGTTGGTTAAGGAAGAGGGAGATCCAAGCTTTCTTGTCTACAAGTTGCAGAGAGATTGAGGTTAAGAAAATTATAAAAACTAGAAACAATGCAGTCTCCAGGGAAAAACAGGCAGTGGGGACCCAGACAATTCAGATTTCCTCAGTTTCTAAACAAGTTAACCTCAGAAGCCACGTAGGAAATTTGTCTGTGTACGCGGACATGTGTGTTCTGTAGGAGGAAGCGGGTGTGTGGTGCGTTCCTCAAGTGCCATCTACTTTTTACTGGGATAGGGACTGTCACTGGCTGGAATTCACAAGTAGGCTAGGCTGGCTAGCCACAGGGACCAGGGCTCTGGCTGCCTCTACCTCCCCAGTGCCGGGATTCCCTCTTTAAGTGGTGGAGATCAAACTCGGGCCTCTGCATTGGCAAGGTGAGCTCTTTACAGATTAAGCCATCTCTCCGGTGCATGAGAAAAAAATATGCAAAACAATTAAAAGCTGAGGGAATAAAAGATCAAAAGAACACAGATGGTTGCCGTTTTCGACTTCTTGCAAATTACCTTTTTTTTTTTTTGAGATTATTTGTTTTTAATTTTTCGAGTATGGGTGTTTTGCCTGCATGTGTGTCTGTGCGTCCTGTGTGCGCAATGCCAGCAGAAGCCAGAAGAGGGCATCAGATCCTCTTGGACTGGAGCGCTAGGTGGCTGGGCCCTGGTCTTCAGCAAGGTCGCCAGTGCTCTAGAACCAGAGCATCTCTCTGGCCTCTGCCGGTCAGCTTTTGACAAATGTCAGGACTGAGCAGGGTTGAGAGTGTCTGTCGAGTGTAATTGCTGACAAATGCACACAGCTTGACCCTTCTGACAAGTATTTTCTAAATGCGGACATTTTTTTCTTCTCTCAGACAGTGTCAAGGGCATTGAAAGTAATCACTGAAAAAAAAAAAATAATCACTGCTTAGTGTTAACTAGAAAGTGTGAGCTCCAGCGGGGTCTAGAAAGTATGCGCCCAACTTGTGTCCAAAAGAATCTACCTACAGCAGTCAGCCCCGTGCTGGTCTTTCACAGAGGGGCCGCCGGAATGGCGAGACATGAAAGCTCGGCCCGCTCTCCGGGCCTAACCCACAGTTAGGCCTAACCCAGCAGTGGACAGTGTCCTCCCTGTGCTGGCCACATTGCCTGTGCTGGGGCACACGGTCCTTGTGCTGAGCGGCGGCCTGGGTGGGTGACGGTCTGTCTTCTGCTAGGGGTGGCTAGGAAGCAGTAGAACACACCAGGATCTCAGGAAGAGAAGCCCTGGAGTGGGCAGGTTTTGGAGGTACCACCAGGGTAAGGTCTTTTGTCTGAAGCAGCCGAAATGGTTGACAGACATTTCCTGTAAAAGACCAGAGTCTATATTTTCAGTTTTTAAGGACGTGCACCTCCGTTGCAGCATTCAGTACTCCCACTGTGACTCAGAAGCCACGGGCGGTTTGTGTGCCAATGGGCGGGCGCAGCTGTGCTCCAGGAAAAGTTCATACTCAAAAAGTGGGGACGGGGTTGTGGTAGGGCCGACCTGCTCTGGTTGGTGCTTCTTTCGCTAGGAGCTTGGCGTTAATTGAGGCCTTGAGAGAAACGGCTTTGGGTCTTCCCATGAGCCCCACCCTTCCCAGGTGGAGCAAGACAGAACAACAAGGAATACTCTTTCTGAGAATTTGAAACCGCACGCTGGACTTCACAAATCCAGCCAGAATCACACCCCTACGAGGGTCTAGCCCAGCAGTGTCCCCAGGTGGCAGCAGAAGCAACTGCAGCCTGCCTGAAGGCGGCCTGAAAGGGTTCCCACAGGTAGTGAATCGGATGTCTGGGCTCACAATCGGCAACTAAAAAACACAGTAGGAAACTAGGCGTTTTGGTCAAGAGCCACAGAAGCCGAGACAGAAGGCCTAGCCCGGCCGAGGGCAAAGTGAATGTGTGATATGTTTGAAAAATTAAAATACATGATTGAAAAATAGAGCAAGAAACAGATTGGCAGCTTGTGAGACAGACTTTAAAATGTTTTTATCCCATTAGTCTATTTCCTGTGAATTCCTGAGAATAGAAACCCAGGGCTTTGGTTATGCCTTATTATTTTAATGGCAATTTTTTCTGAAATGTTGATAATTCAAGTATAGATTCTAAATAAAAAGCTACTAGCCAGGAGTGGTGGAGCACACCTCTAATCCTAGTACTCTGGAGACAGAATCTGGCAGCTCTCTGCGATTTTCAAGGACAGCCTGTTCAACATACCGAGTTCCAAGCCAGCGAGGCTCCATAGAGAGACCCTGTCTCAGGAAAAAAATAATAATAATAAAAAGAAAATAAATAAGAAATAAAAGCTATTGGTACAGTTTTGGTAGCTCCCCTAAGAAATGTGTGCGGTCTCAGTCAAGTCCACGTTGCTCTTGGTCAGCAGTTGTCCTGTCCTGGCCCCTGGTAAGAGTGACTCTCCTGTCCAGGTATGATGGTGCAGACCTGTAATCATAACACTAGGGAAGCTAAGGCCAGTCTGGTCCACAAAGTTAATCCAGGACAGCCAAGGCTACACAGAGAAACCCTGTCTCAAAAAACAAAACAAACAAACAGTAATAACAACAACAACAAAATCAAGACCTTTTCTCCAAAAGATAGGAGGGGCTGAGGAGATAGCTCAGCAGGTGGAATGGTTGCCTAGCTTGTTCAGGACCCAGAATCCCACCCTCAGCAAGCGCCACATGAAAAACCAGGCATAGTTGTGCACGCTTGTGATCCTAGCACTCAGGAAATGGAGGTGGGAAAATCACAAGTTTAAGGTTGGGCTGGAAAGATGGCTCAGGGACTAAGAGGGACTTGCCACACCACTATGGGAGCCTGCGTTTGTATCCTAGGCCCCACGTAACAGGCCAGGCAGGCGCGGTCATGCATGGGATAGAGACAGAAGCATCACTGGAGTTTGGTCAAATGAGCTCCAGGTCCAGGAAGAGACTCTGCCTCAGGAGGAGAAGGCGAATAATTCTGGGACAGCTGGGGACCCACATTTCTGTTCAGACGTCCATGCCCAAAGCAGCAAGAGGTGGTTTGCCAGAGTGTGACCAGATTCCGAGATTCTGAGCATATTTCTTCTCACAGACTTTATAAAATTCCAGAAGACACGGAAGAGCTGCCAGAGGAGATGACTTTTAGGTCCTTTAGAATCAAGAATAATAAAGGGTTGTTTAAAATTCTGAAAGTAAAACCCTCAGGTGATTGTCCCACAGCCACTCACAGTTTTTCCAAGGAGAATGTGAGCAGCCAGCATTAGGACCACTGTCAGTTTGGAGGAGAGCACTGTGCTTCTCTTGGCCTGGGCTGTTTGACTTGGGTAGAACCATCATGGCAGCACCACAGCCTGTTCCACCTGGGCTCACCACCTGTGGCCTTCACGTGAGCCCGAGAAGGGAACCACTGAGCCAGGATGGTCTGCGCTCAGAAAGGAGGTGTCAGGCCCCTCTTACGTGCTGGCTTCTGAATCAGCCAAGGGGGGGCTCTGCTTGAGTTTTCAGCCAGACCCTGAAGGGCCGGGCGGGCCTGATGACTGCCGTTCTCATCCACAGAGAGCGTACTGTGGCCAGTGCAGCGAAAGGATATGGGGTCTCTCGAGGCAGGGCTACAGGTGCGTCAACTGCAAACTGCTGGTCCATAAACGCTGCCACGTCCTCGTCCCGCTGACCTGCAGGAGGCATATGGTGAGTAGGGGTGTGGCAAGGGAAGGCTGGGCCTCTGGCCAAGCTGACCTTGGCAGTCCTTGGTCCTTGTCATTCCATTAGGGTTATGCCCACAGACAGGAGGGGGCCTGCAGGCTGTCTGTGGGCAGTCTGGAACAGAACCTCACGTCCTGAGCACTGGGACCAGTCCCCCTGGCCAGCTGTGAACTAAGTTTTCTATCACTGTGCCTTAAGCCTGCCTGCCTGTGCCACCTAGCCTGGATGTAGAGGACTTTCTGGTCCTGCCCAGTGCTTGTCGGCTCCCAGGAGGGTTGTTGGCTCATCTGCATCTTGGCAGAGTGAAGAAGAAAGACAGCCCTGAGGGGTCGTATCCACGTCCATGTGTCAGATGCGAACAGGATACAGATTGGAGCATGACGAGGGTTGCCCACAAAACTACCCTCCTAGAGGTCCTTTCTGCTGTCTGCTGTAAGCCCTGGAGACACAGTGCAGCCTAGGACGCTGTAGGCCCGCATTACCTTGAGATAATGGGATGAGCCCAGGAATGTGACCATTCAGAGCTGAGTGAGACCCCTGCTTGGACCTGAGGGACCTTCACTTACGACGTCAGCCCGCAGACGGCCGATCAGGAGCCGGGCTGCCAGTGTGAAGACCGCAGGGCATCGAGGGGGCATGGCCAAGCACGGTGTAACGCGTCCCTTCTGTCAAGCGCCTTCCAGAAAGGCGATAACCCAAGATCCTGACCGAGTGAGCACTCCAGCATGCAGACTCCCAGAGAACAGTCTTGAGCTATTCTGTGCTCTACCCAGCAGCCCTTCTTCACACCGCTGCACGCACACACACGTGCACTCTCACACAGTGCAACCTGTGGTCATGAAGTCAGAGCTAGGGGGTGACTCCTGCCCTGTCACGCCAACGCCATCATTTTCTTGCAGGATTCTGTCATGCCTTCCCAAGAGCCTCCAGTAGATGACAAGAATGATGGTGTAGACCTTCCTTCAGAGGGGACTGATGGAAGTAGGTACCCTCCGTCAGCGGGGCCCCCTCCTTGCTCTTCCTTCTTGGGGAGTGTGTGTGTGTGTGTGTGTGTGTGTTGTATGAGGCATCTTGCTATTTACAGCTCCCCAAGCACTGGGGTTACAAGTGTGTGCCACCACACCTGGCTTTGATGTGGGTGCCAGGGGGCCAAACGGAGGGCCTTACATTGTGCAGCAAGCACTTTTGCCCACTGAACTGGGTTTTCAGCCACAAGGGTTTTGTCTTCTGAGGCAGAATCTTAGGTAGCTCAACTTGGCCTCAGGCCCAATCTCTAGACAAGGGTGACCTTACACTTCAGGTCCTCCAGCCTCTGTCTCCCAGGCGGAGAGCTAGGCTGCAGGCAGTTGCCATCATGCCACACGCTTTCTGCAGCACTGGTGAGCCAGTCCAGGGCCTCGTGCACACTAGGCAGGCACTCCTCCAACCAAGCCGCATCTCCGGCCCTCCCTTTTACTTGTTTGAGACAAGCCCTGGCCGGCCTTGAACTGTACAATCCCCCTGCCTCAGCTTCCCAGGCACTGGGAATACAGGCATGCACCCAACACCCTGCCCTAAGTGAACACTACATTTCCAGCTCACTGCTTCCAGCCTCACGAACGTGTCAGATTGTGAGCTCGTCATGACTTAAGGGAGCCCCTTCCAAGTGTCCTAACCCCAAGCTCGCACAGCCAGCTTGCGGAGGCCTAGGAAGCTGCACTTGTGTAGAACTCTTTAAACTGGAGTGTGGTGCGCTGCTTTGTGGATTGCCCCCTCCCACCACTGCTGTCCTGTGTGATGCCCTCTCCCACCCCTTCGGGGAGGTGAGGGACCCCTGGGCCTCTGGGCTCCTGTGACACTTGTAATACCCTTCCTTCCTTCCTTCCTTCCTTCCGTTTACTAGTTGCTTATATTTCTTCATCTCGGAAACATGATAACATCAAAGATGATTCTGAGGTAAGTGAGTAAAATCAGTGTGGCCAGCATCTTTTTAGAAAGCCTGTGAGTGTCCTTCAGGGGCAGGTGTCTGAACTTTAGCATGGGCTAGGGGGAATAAGAAACTGTACCAATGGTCAATTGTAGGCCAGGCTGGCTTCTGAGTTACGAACTCCCCATGGTCTATCAGCTCCTAAGGCTCCCGGCTTTGTTACTCCTTTGTCCTTCCCGGTCTGGCAAGCCCTCAGCTGCTTGCTCAGGCAGGCTCTTTCCCAGAACCTGACCCACAGGCTCCATCTGGCTGCATCCAGCCTCCAACCATGGCCAGCTCTGGTGTTTTAGGGAATCAGAAGAATGTACTGTGTTCTCAGCCTCAGTGCACAGAGCAGGCTGTCTACCCTCACCCTCACAGAATAGAGCAGGGCAGTGCTCACAGAGCAGCTCTGCTCTCCCCACCCTCTGGGAGCAGGTTCCCGAACTTCCTACCCCCACAGAGCATGCCCAAGTCTGCAGCTTAACCTAGTGGAGAGTCCTTATGGAGGCACTGCAGTATTTCTAGCTCCTTCCTTTAGATGCCCACAGTCTTGGTTCTTTGTCTTTCTGGTTGAGTTAGAGGGGTTGGGTGCTAGAACATGAGGCATGGCTCCATGCTGAGGACCAGGTCTTACTGCCCTTCACATGAGGGCGAACAGGTTTTGACTCTTGGCAAAAGGTGGCCCCTCCTTCCTCTGGAACTCTCCCTAGGACCTTAAGCCTGTCATCGATGGGGTGGACGGGATCAAAATCTCTCAGGGGCTGGGGCTGCAAGACTTCGACCTCATCAGAGTCATCGGGCGTGGAAGCTATGCCAAGGTCCTGCTGGTGCGGTTAAAGAAGAATGACCAGATCTATGCCATGAAAGTGGTGAAGAAGGAGCTTGTCCATGATGACGAGGTATGTGCTCGGCCTGCCAGAGCATTGTGCACGATTCAGGGTCAGCACGAGGCCTGCCGGAGCATCACTCAGGATTCAGGGTCAGCGCGTCTGCCGGGGAGGTGGCTGTGTAGAAGGACATCACCAAAGGCTGTGTGCATCTGGGCATTGCACTGGGTCATGGCTTTTCCACTTCCAAAGTTTGCAGCAGCAAAGTTAGAGCCCTTGAGTTTAATGATGTCACCTCACTGTTCATCTCCTCACAGACACTTTCTGTGGAATGTGGGGCATGTAAACACTCACGTGCAAGTACTCGTGTCCCGTGTGTTTCTAGGAGCAGGAGTGCTTGGCTGAATAGTGTGATTCTGGGTGTGTTTTCTGAAGAGACTCTCACACTCTGTCCAACACGGCTGCGCCGTTCTATGTTCCTGCCAGCGGGGCTCAGGGCTCCAGTTTTTTCCACGTCTTCAACAGTACTTATTTTCTGGCTTTTTTGTTTCCTCTCAGTGCCTATGTAAGCACCAAGTGTGGCCTTGAGCTGCAGCTACTCTGGCGATGGGTGAGGCTGACACTCCCTCACATGCTTGTTGGCTTTGTGTCTGTTGGAGCTGAGGTCCGTTTGGGACCCTCACACGCAGGGAGCCTTTGTTCAGTGCACAGCCTGTCAGCCTGGATGCTGAGCTCCTGAGGGAGTGGGAGTGCCCCGACTAGGCCTGTCCTCAGCACCCGGTGTCATCTCTCTCTCCTCACGATCTTGAGGTGTTGCCCTGTCCTTCCGAGCCGAAGCTGGTGTCTTTCTGAGTCATCTCTGGCCACAGCTTCCCAAGTGTGTGCCTCCTACCTTTCCCCTGAGTTGTTTTGTCCAGGATATAGCTCTGCACGGAGCCCAAGGAGCTGCCTCAAGCTCCCCACTGACAAGAGCCCCCTGGCTCCTGCTCTCCTTGAGCCTGCTCTCTGCTTACACAGAGCTGAGGCTCCTGGGACTCACAGAAGTCCTCAGCTTCCTGCTCTCGCCAGCCTTGTCCCGCCAGGCCCCGGGCGTTGCTGTGTGGCCCTGGTGTGCCAGTCTTGGAAGACTTTAAGTAAAGTCTTTCTCCTAATGGCGTTGGTTCGCTGGGCTGACCTTCCAGTGTGTTCCCTAGGGAAGGCTGTGTTAGCCCCACACAGTCCTGGGTGTTCCTGTAAATTAGAACCTCTAGAGATGCAATCATAAAGCCCAGTCACAGATGCCGCTGGTGCTGGCTGGCCCGAGCTTGGGAGAGATGGAGGAAAGCCAGCCCACTGATTTCCATCCAGGAATCTGGGTGACTGGTGGCTGTTTGAAGTGTGAGCTGCCTAAGTGTGGCAGTCAGGTCAGGTAGGCTTTGGGTGGGCAAGTCTGGAGTCTGGATGAAGCGGGGCTAGGTGTCCCCCGAGTGGAGAAGGAACTCCTGGGCTCAGCATACCAGGGGGAGCAAAAGCTGTCCTCAGTTCACTCAGTGGCTCCCAAAGCTCCTCCAGAGAAGACGGCACTGTTTGCACACATCTCTACCCTTCTCGCTTTTCCACACACCAAGGTGAGGGTCAGGAGCCTCATCCCCTCTGTACCCTGGGGCTGTGGCGGGGCCAAGCTGTGGCCTCTTATTTTGCAGCATCCCACAGAGCTGCTGCAAAGTTGGGGGAGATGGCGCTGTGGCAGCCACTAATGTCAGAGATGATGGGCCTGTCTGCGGGCTCAGCACTCAGTGGCTGTGGGTCTTTGGGAATCTGCTCCACCCTGGTGATGGGGAGGGGGATGGAGGCGATGGTGTTGGAGATGGTAGTGACGGATGGATGATGCTAGTGTCAAGGTGAAAGTTAGGTGGGTGACAGTAGCGATGGTGCTGATTTGGATTTGGTTTGGTTTTTGTCTGAGACAGGACCATTCTGTGTAACAGGCTGCAGGCTGCCCGGGAACTTACCAACAGTCCTCCTGCCTTGGCTTCCTCAGTGCCAGGGTCACCCGACTGTGATGTGTTTCTGGATAGGCGCTTCCTTTTCCTCTCCAAACTGTCTTCTTCAAGCAGAGGAGACGGCTTTCCTGTCTTGCCCCTTCTCCACCCTGAGCAGCTGTGCGGTGTCTGTTTCAGGATATTGACTGGGTGCAGACGGAGAAGCACGTGTTTGAGCAGGCGTCCAGCAACCCCTTCCTGGTTGGCTTACACTCCTGCTTCCAGACAACGAGCCGGTAAGGAAGAAAGTGTCTCCACAGGTCCTGCTGCTTTCTAATGAGAATCTCCAGAAGCAGCCGAGATGACAGCGGAAGGTAGACAGACACCTATGTGACTGCTGCCCTCAAAACTCAAGGGCAGTCGGGTCGGGGGGCACGTCTGCGATCCCAGCACTCGGGGAGGCAGAGGCAGGCGGAACTCTCTGTGAGTTCCAGGCCAGCCTGGTCTACAAATGGAGCCCAGGATAGCCAAAACTACACAGAGAAACCCTGTCTTGAAATTAAAAAAAAAACTTCTCCAGGAAGCCAGGTTGGACCGCAGTTCCAGCTGTCCCCCGCAAGCCTCCTCTAGATGCATTTGTGGGGTTTTTAGGTCGTTCCCGTCGGTTGGCATCACATGCAGTAGACGTCACACGCCTGAGTTCACATGATGCCGTTTGTGGGGTCTTCTTGAAGGCATCCTACCAAAGACGGGTTCCGATGTGGTGTGCTGAGCAAGCGTGTGTCCCGTGCTCCCTCTCAATGAGCAGAGGTCAGCTACTGGGCAGCTGAGCGTTACTGTGTATGCTGAAATTCTGCTGCTCTGAAAATGCTGGAATCTAGTGGCCTAAGAGCATGGCAGTACACGGTAACGAATCTGGGGACAGCTGACTTGAGCTAATGTAGTTATCCTCCCCATCCTGCAACCATCCCCCCACGCAGGAGGTCAGTAACAGGATGCGTGGGGGCCTGACATCCCCTGCTCAAGGCAGTGACTGGTACCAAAGGATAAGGAAAACTTGGCAAGGCTGAGCTAAGTGTGGTGACACACTCAGGAGACCGAGGCAGGGGGATCATGAGCTGGAGGCCAGCCTGGGGTAAAAAGCATGGCACAAATCTCAGAGCCCTGTCCTCAGCCTCCAGCAGTAAACTGTGTCGGCTCAGCATTTTATCAGGCTGCTTATGAAGGCCAAAAGTCTCAATCCAGAAGCACTCGGCAGCCTCCATAGTGGATGGCCACAGTGTCCCATGGTCTGCTGTGGAGTGCAGGCTTGAGACCCGAGGGCAGGGGCAGACTTCCCAGCCCAGACCCTCAGCCCCTGCCGATGGGTATTTTCTGGGCCCCCACCTGGGATGGGCCTCCGCTTTGCTTAGTCTGTGTTTCCAGAAGCGTCCTCAGAAGTGCACTCAGATACTGCTTAGCCGGGCCAGCCAAGTTACCACGGAGCATGCTCGGGACCTCACTGTGCAGACAGTCTGGCAGGGTGCGCCCTGCTGCCTTCGTAGGGAACGTTTTGGAGGACGCATTCTGTAGGGGCCAGTTTGGGGTGCAGGGTGCTCGGCTCTGGCCTCTGGTGGGATCCTCTCTCCACACGGGTCTCAGCTTACCTGAGAAGCCCAGGTAAGCTGGGTCTGTCTTTTCTCAGACCACTCGAGGGCTCTACCTACTGTAGCTGTGGCATTTCTGTCATCAGTTGGAAATTCTGTTGTCACCCATCCCGACGTCTAACTCCTGAAAGTGTGGCAAAGTCTCACCTTTGGCCTGCCGGAAGCTTGGCCACAGCTGCCTCGGAGTGCCTGGTCCCCAGGGTCCCCACACTATTTCGTCTGAGGTGAAGCACTAGTCTGAGATCTTTCTCCGGCTTAGCGGCAGTTCTGACTGCTTCCCAGGCACCAGTTGGAGGAAATCCTAGCTTCCTGTGCCTGGGGAAGAGGATATTGCACTCTTGTAGTTAGCCTCACAAGGGCCTTCCTCCCTGTTTCCCCTCCCCAGAGCCAGGGCCACCAGAAGGGTTCGGCACTCAATGGTCCCTTTGTGCATCCCCATGGCCCTGTCCTCCCTTGTCCTGGCCCCGAAGCGTCTCTTGTGAGTAGGAACGAGCCTGAGGGAAGGCAGCCTAACCCGCCCTTGGAGCTCCCAAGGGGCGGGAGCACGCGCTGACCAGCATCTGCAGGGACCCTGATAAAACGAGGGTCCCGGGAATGGCACCTTTGCACATCTACTGTCTTCCCTGTTTTTCTTTGTACAGGATCTGTCACTGACACTGGACTACCTGACAGGGTTGGTTTTGTGTGTTCCCTTGGGTGTTTCGAGCACCTGATCTGACCTTTGGTAAATATGTCCGTGTGTCTCCCTTTCTGGCTGTGAGCATCCTCAGAGTAGGGCTCGCTGTGTGCTTCTGTATCTCCAGCGTTTGGATGATTCTGTCACTTAATAAACAGTGATGCCCTGACGGGGAAAACTTTAAGGTAAACTCATACTTCCTGTACAGATAAAAAGTGTGCGCTTGTAATTTTCGTGGTCTGTAAGGAACCAGTGGAATGCTGCAGCCTGCCCTGGCACGCTGGCAGCTGCCACGTCAGTGGACTCAAAATGGCCTCGGAGCATGTGACTTGGCTGTGTTCTTTCACTCCACAGATCTAACTTGCAAGTCTAGGAGAGAAGCTCTCTTGCAGTGCTGTCCACGGAGCCCCTCTCTCAGAGCTGGGAAGCAACTCAGAGACCACAAAACCTCTCTAGAAATAGGTATCAGAAGAGACACAGGCCACCCAGTGCCTGGTCCCCCCAAAAGACGTCTGCCCTAAAGGCTTGCTGACAGCAGTCCAGTCAAGGCCGAAGCCCACACTTCCTGGCTGTTCCTGCACTGCTCAGACACTTCATGTGTTTCCTCTGGGAACAAAGCTAGAAAGTTCTGGAAGGCGCTATGGGATTAGCAGAAATTTACAGCAAGGCTGTTCGTGGCTCCCTGCTGAGAAATGTGAGGCCCTGATGTGGGAAGCCTTTCTCCTGCTTGGTGCTGTGTCTTTGCATGGCACCATTGTGGGCCAGCCCCGAGAAAAGGGAAGCCAGCTTCCCCCTCAGAGACAGAGAGGGCTCTTTCAGCTGCACATATGTCCTCGCCAACCTTGCACAAAATGGGGCAGAGCCACCAGCAACAGAAAATCTGGTGCCTGCCTTTGGGTGCAGGATCGGCATGGGTGCCTTGCCTTGCCTATCCCGCTACCTTAATAGCTGCAGGGTTTATAAAGACTTTCCCCCAGAGACTCATCCTGAGATCTTGCTGAGCCTGTTGCTAGGGGCTGGATGGATGTCTGTGTTCCACCTCCCAGCAGATCACACACAACAGGAAACCGATGAAACTCCAGGCAGGATGCTAGCGCTTGCTGGCAGCCGTGAGTGGAAATCTAGTAAAGAGAAGGCAATGGTTTCCACATGTGCCTGGTGATTATAAAGAGGCCTCTGCGGGGATGGGGGATGGGGGATGGGGGATAAGGATTTCTTTCTTTCCTTCCCAAATCCAGCGGCGCCTATTCTGGTGGCCCCACAGAATTCCTGTGCTCACAGACCTGCACCACTCCCATAGTGTGTGTGAGACGAGGACAGGGGCATTTTAACTAAGCATCTGCTCATGGGAGCCATGCCCCATGTCTGCATGGTCTTTTCCAGACAGTAACCAGAATTAAAATTCTCCCACAAAACCTCTAAAAACAGGGAAACTGTTTCAGCTTAAGCTATTACAGGAAAACAGGCAACCTAAAAAGCCTGAAGAATGCTTCCTCTTAAGCCCTCTGGTGTGTTCTCCCGATTCATCTGTGGTTTGGGGGCAGGAATGCAAACTGGTGCTGAAATATCTGTTGGTGGCCAGGGAGCTGCCTGAGAGAGGTGGACGTGTCATGTGCTGCCTTAGGTTCAGTCCCAAACAAGAGAGAGAAAAGGAGGAAGAGGAAGAGGGAGGAGAGTTTAGTTAGCTTGGCCTGCTGTGGAGTTGCTTTCTTTTTTTTTTTTTTTTTAGTGCTCCCGTGTGTGGGAGGAGGAGGGAGGGTGTGTAGCCTGCTGGAAGGCATGTAACTTTGTACAGTCGTCTCTCTCCTCCCACCTTTATGTGAGCTGTAGGGATCAAACTCAGGTCACCAGGTTTTCTCTGCAAGCCACCTTGCTTTCACTTTTAAGGAAGGGCAGACCTTTCACCATTTGTCCTTGTAGGGGCTTCCATAGGCATCTGGACTTAGACACTTGGGGAAACTCATCCTACCTAAAGTGGCTTATGGGTATTAAATGCCACTTGATCTTTTGCGTGTGTGTATGTTTAAGTAAACAGAGACTTGTAAAATGTACCACAGTACTGGAGAGGCAGAGAGTGCTTTTCCTCTTAGAATAGGAAGAAATCCCCCTGGAATAGGTCACGGATCTATCAGGAGGGGCCGAAGAAGGCTGGTACCCAGACCAGGACATGGGAGTGAAGACACAGCTGGAATGCACCTCAGAGCTGAGCAGCCACAGGGCAGCAGGTTATCTGAGAGAGACTGGCCTACCCCTTGCCATTAGTGGGAGGGGGAAGAAGTCCCCTGACTCAAGGAGCCCACACAGCCCCCAAGAGTGAGCCAGGCAGCCAGGAACCGCTAGGCGGGGCTAGGCTGGATTCAGAAGGAAAGCCATTGGATGTGGGATAGGGCGGGTGACGGCAGCTCAGTGGGGACCAGGAGGGCGATCTGACAGTGAGCAGGGCGTACCAGGCCCAGCCTCACAACCACTTCCTCGTGCAGTTTGCAGGGGCTCAAGAGTTTCAGCAGGACCCACATTGCTGTGAACTTGGCAAGAATTGCTTAGCGGCCTCGGGGGAGAGAGGGCATGACTCAGGGTCTGTCACTCACTGTCACACTGCAGCCCAGAATGGAAAGAGCCAGCGTTGAGTGGCATCTGTGGGGCTGAGTGTGGGAGCCGCAGCAGCCTTCATGCTGACAGCACGACATCTCAAAACCCCGTCATGGTGGCAGTGCAGCCCCGGCAGCCTCTTACTGTAGAGCACAGCTCTGGCCACTGGGCAGTCCCGGGCCAAGGGTCCCCAGGTGGAAGGGTGGTTTCAGGGCAGTGAGCTTCGGCTTGCTCAGATGGACGGGTTCTGGGAATGCTTCTGTCAAATGTCGGCTCTCTGCCATCTTAAGAACACTGGACAGATACTGGTGAGTCACCAGGAATCCCTGGCCAGCAATGGACCCTGTGACATAGCCTGTGTCCACCGAAGGATAACACAGCTGTT